TTTTCTCACCCAGAGGAGATCGAAGACGTGAGAATCCTACTTCCGGGTATGTAGCTAATAAAGGTTGAGCATTGATTCCCCTTGTATTTGTCTTGTAGGTGAAGATCTATTACTTCGTCAGGGTTCCCAAATTACACGACGATCTTTGTAAAGATCTCGCTGTTTCTCGGCAAAGGATCCTTAGATTTGTAGTATTACGATCATTCTGTCATCGTTCGTTCGCTTTGAAATAATTCGTTTGCTCGATTTTTTCCGCCTTGCTAACCATTATCTTTGAACTAAAACACGTCTTCAAGAATCATTAGCGGATCTCTTTATAGAACACGAATACCCTTTCTGCGCGATTTGATTAAAAACCTTTTAGTAAATTTGATTAGAAACTTTATCGAATCTTGTTCGAAGATTAATTAAAGCGATTTATTCTTATCGTTGATTACATTACGTGTGTATATTGCTTCGCACTGTCTGTTCTAGCGACACCACCTACGTAACTATTTTTATATCGCAATAGAAACAGCTAACAAAATAAATATGTGCTGGCAAATATTTGCCATGTGTAATCAAGACTTTGCAAACAGTTTGGAAGATCTATGCTATGCATATTTGTTTTCATATTTTCCAATCTTTATGTCGTAACTAGACCGTGGATTTTTACGCAATCTCATATTTTGATCGACGTAACTAAAGAAATCTGCAGCCCGCATAGAAATCTACTTCTCCCTCAAAATAGTACATATTTTGTGTACATAGTTTGCTGTTGTACACACGAATAAAACATACTTACGCTATATTCGTTCGTTCCATGCACGCTTCAAAAATTCTAATCCTTCTTACCTTTGGTGGAAGCAGAGACTCGCTCGACAGCGACAACACGCACATAGTAGATATTAAAAATCTCAGCTACTTTAGTATTACAATATTCATAAAGCCGGTTGTATTAAGCATTTTGCTCTTTTTTTTTAACATTATTATTGTTTGTTATTTGGCAGCAAGATGTACGATAACGCGTGGAATTCACTTCAGGAGCGAATAGGAGGCACAAAAACGATAAAAATGTTCATACGGAGGTGTATTCTATCCGATCTCGTTTCAAATTTATAGCCATTTTTGTGTTTCGATAGTCCGTAACTGTCTACCTTCGCGATTTCCTCGTAAATGGACAGGTCGTGCAGGACTTATTTCCTGCTCTGCTCGTTCCCCGGATTTAAATCCATTAGATTTTTATTTTCTTGCCACTTGGAAACAATTGTGCATTCGACGTTCATGGCCGGCGTTGCGGTATGTACTCCGTGCACGTATATAACCAGATTGCCAGCAGATTCAGCAAATACCTGGAATTTTCAAAAGATGGCGATATTTTTTGATGCGGAAAATGCAAGCTTGAATACAGACGGAGAATAGCTATTTCGAGGAATTTGTACGAACATGAGCATTTGCGGAGTATCGAAACACAAAAATGACTACAACTTTGAAACGATCAGATCGGACGCACGTTCGTATGAATTTGTTCAATCGTTTTGGTTCCTCCTGTCTATTCCTGAAGTGCATCCCACATGTTATGAAACACCCTGTATCTTGCTGGAGTTAATGTTTCGCCTCATTTTGCAACCACTCATCTAGCTATAAATCCTATTCTCTCGCAACATTTATATTTTTTAAATTTCCCATAAATGCAGAAATGTAGGCAGTCTAATCATAATAAACCACGTGATTATGCTAATCCACATTCCGCCGGCCACAGTCTTTCAGCATTTACCGCTTATGAAATGTAAAAGGCAGTCTGCGTAAATTCAAAGCGATTCTTTTATATTTTCTAATTTATTAAACTAGATATAATATTAAATGTTGTAATAATGATACATACTGGAAGATTTCGATGATAATTAACTTATTAGTTCCCTGCTCTCATATGGAACACGTATTTTATCATCGACTAAATGTTATCTATCAGAAAAAGCAACTTTTTTCAAATTCGTCTGCGATATGAAACAGACGCTTATAGACGAATATTGGAATATACAGAGGGAACGAGCTGAGAGTAAAATATTCATTCGCTTGTTATCACATTTCTGAAACAGTACTGCATTAGCTGCTCTATTTCAATGCAAATGTTCCACCAATGCCACTGAACAATTGTTTCTTTCGTTTAGAAATTCCAATAAAGTTTCAATTAAATAAGATTCTCGATTAGAACAGACCAGTTGATGCGAATACATTGTATAATTGATCGATATTGATCGATAGATAATACTGACAAAACGGGGATTTCTATAATAGTCTATTAAGTCTATTCTAGTCTAGTCTAGTCTAGTCTAGTCTGCCTCCTAGCCGTGAAAAAGATTCGCTACACAATTGCTATTTTTATTTGCCTTGCACTCTCAACCATACGTTCTTCTGATACATATATTGCTTACTAGTAGAAGACTCGCTAAGGGGCGTAGGTGCGACAGTCAGGATGTGATTGATTGGGAAATTAACATTTGGAGCATCAACCGATCAACGTACACCCCAATGCAAACCGAGACGAAAGTGATTCATTGAAAGAGTAAAACGAGTTAATTTTAGCACTCGAAACTTTATTTCAGTGTTGGGAAACTTTAAACGAGATTCAATTTAATCGTACAATGTACTTGCTCCGGATAAAAATTCGCTCTTCGAAAAGGACAATTAAGCTTAGCGTTAGCAGCTTTGCTTGTACAGCTTGTAACAGGCCACCTAAATATGTTTGCTATTTGTGATAAAAAAAAAAAAAAAAAGAAGGAGAAATGTTTCTAACGTAATTGAAATGATTTCACGAATTTTTGCTAATTATTCGGAATAGAGACAATCTCGATTTCAATGATCTTGGAATATGGAAATGATCTTTTCTTGTACGAGTAACCGCTGCTGGGCTCTAGTTTCCAGGATTTTCGTAAAAATCTTCGACATCTTCTGAGAAACGATCTTGAACTCTAAAATTTTAGGATTAATGTGAAACGATTCGATATAAATTTCTCTGAAAAATGAAATATCGCGGCTGTGTAATTGCCTAAAAATATTCAGTTTACAAGCTCGTATCACGTAACGTCGATGAAATATCAGAGACAGAGAAGACATAACAAATGAGTCATTACTTAGGCTGACACAAATGCAATGGTAGTGAGATTATCCTAATGGAATGATTTGCAACCCCCTGACTCGTATATGACAAACGCTGTACTGCCATTTCCCTTCGAATCTATTTAACGCGGTCGAATTAAATCGATCGCGCTGACATATGGGATTCATAATTCTACCTACAGAAGCAAACGAGAAAAGTACGTATCATACCAATTCATAAACTCTGTCACGTTTTTTAGTCGAAAGATTGGTAAGGATTGGAAAGAACATATTTTCCCTGACTTTTCCTCACCCTATCTCGTTTAAAAGGTAGTTTCTCTGTTCCTAACTCTTTGTAAAATCTCCGCAATTCACAGTTTACTCGAATTTTATGTCAAATTTTACGTATACTCCGATGCGGTACGAATAAAGTATTCGTAATTTTGTGAAATTGTAACGCTAAACGATAGCGGTAGCATTTGTTTATTGCGCGAGGCTCACGCCCGGTGCAATTTTGTTTATATTATATACAGGAAATAATAAAATACGCGATACTCTCAACGTTCGCCGTCTATGCAATTTTACCTGGTAGTCTTAATTAGCCAGGATTCCTTTGTAGCTAAGAGGTATATTTAAGTCTATATATTTTGCTTTTCCTCTTTGCTTCCGAGTATTTAAGGTATTTATAAAAGATGTTTTATGTGCAGGCATTTGTTCCGGCTATATCTTGGCTGAACAAATTTTCGTTATTCCCCTTTAAGATTTCGTTTTGTCCGATTACGGATACTTTAATCATTATATTTCCCTGCATTACGTTCTCGTAATCATGACGAGTGAGCGTTGTTTTCGGTTGCGAGTACCTAACAGATACGGTTATTACGATATTAAACGATAATTCATTAGAAATTTCATAACATTTGCCAAAAGAGCGATATAAATTACGATGTAAATTGCGTTCCACCGATACGCATCTATGATATTTATTTTTACGTGATGTATTGATTAAACGATACTTGTACACAATTACAACGCGTACTAATTTTACCTTCTAATTATTAGCTCGATATACGAATTTTCCTGATTATTACTCGATGAAATTTCCTGATAGAAAAGGAAGAAAGTTCTTATTTTCGAAGCGTGTTTACGTTTTCTTTCTTTAATATTTGCCTCCGAAATGCAAGCGTGCGTAAACATCGTAACTAGGCTACGGAATTTTATTCATTTATAGGAAATTTGAAAGTGCAGAATTGCACAGAATGCGCATAATATGAAAAGATATATAAGATATACAAAATACAGTGCTTTTTACAGCACTTTGTTGGTAAAAAAATTTTCCAACAAGGTTCTACTCGTTTAATATTCTTCTTCTAATGTTCTCAAAAATATGAATTTCCATAAAAATCCGCAGTCTAATCGTAACTATTATCATACACTACACCATAATCACACTAATTAAGAGCAGCAGAAAGAAAGAACGAAGCGAACGTAATTAAGACAGTTGTTTTCGTTTAAATTAATATCTACAAAAATGTTTTTTAATTTCTCGTTGTAATTAACGTCACTGTTCCTTGTTTCATTGCATTTGAATCGCATCGCAATTTTATTGTTAACAAGTAAAACAAACAACTAGAAAAAATCGTACGAACAAACGACAGTTTGTACAATAATATTAACAGTGTTTTGCAAAGATTTATTATTGTATTGTTAACCTAGAAGCTTTGAATGTATATAGCAATAGATAGCAAGGATAGCATTTTTATAAATGTAAGAATAGATTACTACGCATAAATTTATTCTACAATTTTAGCGTAAGATACTGCAATTTGCGAAACGTTTATTTTGTTGTTTAAGAAAAATTATAACTGAATGTTGATATATATTTGCATCGGATAATCCTAAATGGTATTTGGAATTATGTAATCTTTAAAAATATCGTTCTTCATAAGTAAACATCAAAGTTTAAACTTACGAGAAGCAACCTAAATATGAAAATAACACGAAAACGTTTTATTAAAACAACGCGAAATAAATGTCGGTTCAACGGACAAAGAAAGATCGTACAATTTTGTCAACAAAAAACAACGACCTTCGTTAGCATAAAATATCTTCTACATATATTTACGAAATACGTGATAATTACAAAAAAATGGGTTTATATTTGTCGATTTAAAGAATAACAAGCGCTGCAGGTTGTATTTGTTTTTTCGATGCTATCATATATGGCAATCTCATTTATTATTATTACGCGGCTGTGATACGATCACATTCCTAAATGATGACGCCATTCGTTAAAATTAAATCATTACGCGTGAACTATATCGGATGTGCAATTACAGGAATACAAAGGCAGAAAAGGTATATGATTGGACCAAAGCCTGTTGTTCATCCCCTTTTCATCTCAAACGGAGAAAAACTCTTCTGCGATTCACAAATTGCTTCAGAACGCGGATGTGAATTTCAATTGTTTTAATAACTTTAATATGCATGCTAAAGTATAACACTAAAAAATTATTATATCGAAAGTTTTTAATATACTTTATCGTATGTAATAAAATGCAGACTTGAAGCTTTTAGATGGTTCCATTTTTCATTGCATTGCATATTCTTTCAAAACATTAGGAACTCGTGCCTCTTGCAACTTCGCCATCGAGTACGAGCTTTCGAATTCGAGAGAGCGATACAAGGAACTGGTTGAAAACTGGCTCGAAACTGGCTAACCGTTGGATGTTTTAAGGTCATCGTCGGGTGAAATAGATAAAAGCACGGTATATCCTGCTCGATACCGTACGACTTTTGTCTGAAACATCTTTTTATATCACGACAAATAAGAACAACTAAGTCTGGAAGAGTTAGGCGAGACACCCCGTATGAAGAACGCTTAATATACAGGGTGATCCATGCGAAGTGATTCAGATTATTCAAACGCAATTGTCTCCTATACGTTATGCGAAATAAATTCTACTTTATTTCGAGGGGAACAGCTCGAAGCGATCAGAAATTTTATCTGCGATATGCCCAGGATGTGCCTTGGATGTGCCTTCGAGATCTCAAAGTGACATCTGCTTTTTTTAAATAGAGTGTTTTTATTCGGATAGGCGTGTAGCTCGTTCCATGACGAATTTATTGACCTTTGATACGTTGCTGTTCCAAGGACGTTGAAGGTCGTTCATTGTTATTCGTAAATTACCTTCATTCGCTAAAGGGCCAGAAATCGATCCTTATCTTTGGTATTCGAGATGACGACCTCCGAAATGACGCCGACGCATCGACTTACTCTACCCCTGAAAGATATTTGTGTCTCGACCAATGTTGCAGAAGTAATTTGCAGGCAAGTCTTTCATATTATCAGGCCTAGTGGATTCTTTCCAATAGACTTGATCTTTTATGGAAACCTGGAAGAGAAAATCCGCAGGTGTTAAATCCAGGGACCTTGGCATTCTATTTCCTCTTCCTATTCAAGTATCCAGAAATCCAATGTAGCAGCAGTATCCCCTGTTTGTAAACAAGAGTAACAATATGTCGCATCGTTAGCGTGATTATGATTCGCTTTTACGTCCGAAATTGACGAAGTATACCTACGAGTGTAAGTCGAATCCTGGGGATGTTCCACGAAGGGAAGTTTTGAACAGCGAAAAATGACCTTGAAGGAGCTCGGAACAACAACATATTATAAGCCATGTCTATCTAGACAAGAATCGCGAGCATCGCAAGATGTACCTCTCGAAACGACGTAAATTTTACTTGAAACGTTCTTTTGCACGAAGAACGATGTAGGAAATAATCGCGTGCATTCCTTCAAATGGTCCATCCTGTATTTCATTGTATGCAATTATACGGCGATGAAATGCAAATCATCGCGTTTCGAATTCTCGTTTCTTTACAAAACTTTTGCAATTAACATTAAATTTACTAAAAATAATTACGTAAAACATTCTTGATACATTTTATTGCGTGCAATTACATGGCGATAAAGTGGCAATTATTAAGTTGTCGATCTACGTTTCCTAACAAAACCTTTGTAATTAATATTAAGTCTAGCGTAAATTATTCTATATAAAACGTTTAATATACTTTATTCGGTAGAATTACGTGGCAATAAAATGCAAATTATTACGTTTCCAATTTCTTCGCAAAGCTTTTGCAATTAATATTAACGGGAAGCACCGCATCTTACTTTCTAATGCTCGCCCTCGTTATGCCGGGCGATGCATTCACGAGGCAAAAATTGGAAATGCAGGTGGTATCGAACGAAATGCAGTCCTTTCTGCAGTACAACGATAAGTACGTGGATCCGTGTATTCATGACGTATACAAATGAACGTGTACATATACATCCCTCAAAACGCTTTTCAAGTTAGTTTCTCAAATTAAAGACCGTGCGGCCATTCTTCCGTCTATCAAATTGAGAATCTTTTTTAATTACATTTTTGATTTATGTTTCGAAAGAATTGCATACGCGTAGAGTAAATAGATCGTTCATTACCAATTCTAAATTTACGATATCACAAAATAATCAACATCGTACGATAAACAAATTTAATTTTTCTCGTTATTTTTCTATTTTAATGAAAGGTATTTCTACTAACTACGAGAAGTATATTGTAAATTTTGCTTTTTAATTGAAACATATTTATTAAATTAATATCTTATCAAAGTTATATTATGATATATAAAAGTTATATGTAGTAATTCGTTTTGAACAGGATATGGTTCTCTGAAAATTAGGCGTTTTTCAAGGTATACAGTTTTATTCGTTGTATCGGCATAGCAAAACCAATATCAAATTAAGATCACGTATAAATAATCTACTTATGTCTGAATGAAAAATTATTCTTAACGTTAATTTGTATGACGTTATGAGGAGCAGCAGCAATGCAAGGAAAATTATATACTCATGATTCACCGCGTTATGCTTTCGATGATTTTAAAAAGTTACAACGAAAAAATTCTGAACGCTGTTTAAAGTATCAACCACGTATCTAGACTTCAGATTTCTATCCATTTATGCGAAATTGGTAGATGCGTAAATGCATACAGTTGATCTAACATGTAAAGATATAGAAGATATTCAAAGTATAATACCTGTTATAACACGTAACAAATAAAAAATTGTCCAGTCGAGCTCCACTTTTTATTTCTCTTCGAGAAAATACGAATTCACATAAATATCGCATGTCAATGCAGCCCATTTAGAAGCTGTAAACAACTTTTTCTGCACATGAATCGCGCAACACGTACTTAGACACTACAGATCCTCCGTATTTGAAACATTTAAAATATATCGATTGCTTTATTATCGCGATCAATTATTTAAAAGAGCAATTGTAGGATGGCTTGATTATTCGATCGTAATTGCTATAGATTCCAAAAGAACGTTCGTTTTTTCTCGTTGCAAGAACACGTACCAACAACGTGCGATTAATTATCCTTGCGTAAGAAAGACAAACCACAGCAGCACTGGTGCGTAATACCTCCGGCATGTGAATTTCAACGAAAGACGAGGCAGTCGTATTAGTTTTATTATACTTGCGGAAGGTCGTACTTTTTGCGATGGCAGCTGCATCAGGTTATACCAGGATGTCGCAGTGCGGTATATACAGTCGAAAGAAACTGGACGTTACCATGAAATGAGCGAGCGTTAAACTTTCGCCCTCAACGTTCAACCGCGGTTTCTCGGCTGCGATGTGCTTTCCTCCGCGGATTAAGCCTCGTCCACGCTGATAGACGATTGTCTTTGGGAAATGTTCTACGCAGCAGTGAGAACACTGCGGAATAGAATTTAAGCGCAATTTCCCTTTCTAGATGGTTTTTAATAATGTCGGAAGACGTAGAAAAAAGTATAAGCGTCGATAAACGCCAGTTTTTGTCTAAACGAATGGAACATTGAATTTTCTTTAAAATTAAAGGGTGCCACATATAAGGCTTTTCCGCGGATACACTTTCCTTTTCCATGAACTTGGAGCACATTATATACTTGTTTTCTAGAAGCATTCTTCGATTGTAAACGTGTGTCCGCAGTCAGTCCGTATACGTCGCCCAGGGAAAATTCAATTGCGAAACAAATATTTTGTTTCCCATTGGAATGGAAAACGAGTGACCACGTCTACGGACAGTTGTTGGAAGAACGTGCAAATGGGAACACGCAGCTCGTCCACTTTAATCGTCTTCTTGCTGACAGGCTCCTTTCACTCTGATTTTCTTTACTTCCGCCAACGACCCGGCAACGATTCTCGCGTTTCTTTCCGTTTTCGCGCCAACTTTTTCTAACGAAACAGTTACAAAGTTCCTAAATCCAGAGTAGTCTTCCAGGCTTATTTCCGCAGGAAAATCGTTTCCATACTGACAACCAAATTACAGATTTTTATGCGAATTCACATTTGCAAGTATATGACCGGAGAAATGCAAACTTCTTTTACCAAATTAATCGAGTACCATAGAAGGCATCGTCGATCGTCGAACGTTCAGAACCGTTCATTTCCACGAAAAACGATCCTTTAGTAACCTAAAATACCTCGGAAGAGACACGTTCAGATAAAACTTGTACAGCCCTGATACTATATCAGATTTTTTTCATCGTGACATTCTGCGTATAAAACGATGATAAAATTCTGCGTATATTTTTGTCCTATCACCTACCGTTCGCTAGTTATATCAAACGGCACTTATCGACGGACACCGTGTATTTTAACCCGCCCGAGCAATTATCGGAGAGCCATAATGTGAAATAGTAATATTTCACGTATGTAGTACCTACCGCGCATTAACTAAAGGAAAATCAATATCTGTACGGAATGCAATCATCGTCAAGAGATGCACTGGCGCGTGATATGTAGCTATTCGTACTTACACGTACGCGTGTACAGGAACATTCTATAACATGCTGTTGAGTTACATTCCAGGCGTTCTCGCGCTGACACGTAATTTCGCTGTTTTTAACGAATCGTTAGACGCGAGAGAGCGGGCAACGGGCAACCAAACTGCCATTTCTTAACATAATTGTGCGTGGGCGACAAACGATTCTTTGTTCACCCAGTGATAATCGACTGCCTCGTCGGAGGAGCTTCAGCAAGGGAACGTCGCGTTGTAACGAGAGATCGGGTAGCTGCTCTTCGTTTTCCACGTACTATGCCCGATTACGTTACAATGGCCGAGAATCGGCTCGATTAATGGTGTAACCATGCTGCGTTGTCTTTGTGGTCGATTCTGTCCTACGTGCATATTGTATATATATGTGTACGAACATCTAGGTCCACCATGATACTACGTCAGGTCGGATCTGCACGAAGGAACACACATCGTGCTAACGCGGTACCCCGTAATTGCTGATACGCTGTGTGACGAGGGGTTCCCAGTCGACAATTACGAGGGAAACGGTCCGCCTGCGAATCTCTAATGATTTATGGGGTAGCGACTGACGAACGACTAGGCCATATTATTTAACTTTTGCTTTTACTGCTACGATATTCGTCGTATAATTCCATAGCGTCGATTCGAGGCTTTTAATACATCGTTTTTATTTTAATTGGTCAGTAACACGAGATCGTCTCTAATAACAGAAACGAATATCCGAATAATCAAAACACAATTATACATTCTTTACAAGAGTTATTTGAATAACGACTAAGAAGTACTGTATCATTTTAGCTGTTTGGCGCACTTTTACGCAATTTTATATTTTTCAAAACGTATTTAGAAGAAAGTAGAACGTCGATAGGAAACTGTTTTACTAATATTTCATGTATCTTATCGTAACGTTTGTACTTGTATCATATCGCGTATCTTGCGCTTTCAAATTTCTTGTACACGCGTACTATATATTACGCGTATTATAATTATTGCAATATTCAGCATATAATCGTCGATACATTTTTGATGCCTTTGGATTGTTAACACGAAATCGTTTGTAATAGCAAAGAGAAGAGAAAGAAAGTATTGAAATAATCGGAATATAGTTGTAGCTTTCGTTCTTTACAAAAGTTATTTAAACGATAACATCAAATGATTTACATCTATATACGTATGATTAATATCGTTTAAATCGTTTACGCCTGTCAATTTAGCGTAAAAGAGGTCTCAAATGATTTCTACTCGCCACGTTTGCACCGCCTATACCTCTCCTCTTTATTTTCAACGTTAAAGTACACCGAACCCTTAAACTGTATTAATGTTCATGTCCCTTGCAGTTCGTTCGTGCCCCTCACAATTTCTACTTCATGAAATTTTACGCATCAATTCTCCGAACACACGTATCCTCGCATTCCCACGTGTAAATTATACACGACGTAAATGCGTACTACAAAACTACTGTTGCTACATGTTTTCAACATCGAGCAATTCTTGGAATGATATTACGATAGGGACGATCGCCTCCTTCCCCTGCGAAGAGTAATAAAATATAAGCATATTATGTCAGCTTCTGAAAAGTTTGTTAAATATACAATTAACGCGAATTTAATTATTTAAGCTGCAATGTCAAATAGAAATATTGAAATATAAATTGCAAACGAATCTTAAATTTTGTAAAAGAAAGTTCAAAGACGTACTTGTTCGTGTACTTTTACACATTTCGCACCAAGAAAATCTCCTGCATCCGCCGTTGCGAGTCCAAAGGGTTCGAGTTACCGAAACAGCATCGTTGATTTTTGTTCAAATATCGTTAACGCCGTTAACTGTTGCGTTAGAATGACAAAATTACATAATAGCAAAGATATCGTTGTACAAAAGATTTCAAGCGCGTAACATTAATGGCATATGCGAAAAACGATAAATAAGAATAAAATTTGAGATAAAACAAAAGAAAAAGAGGGAAAGAATTTGACCAATTATCCAGTTATTAAGTGTATGCAAAAGTTTTAGTCTTTTTTTCAAGCGGCCGTGTATAACTACCTTTAATCGATAAAATTGACCGATCTTCAGTACGATCGTTTGGTCGATATTGATTTATCTGAAAACACCAGCTTCGCGATCGACAATAACTTGACAAAACAACAGTGAGCTGGCCCCATATGGCTCGAATCACTTGGGGTGGCAAGTTCTTCCACGCGCGGTGTACTCTACAAGTTTGTCAGCGACAGATTATCACTTTATTCGAGTCGATGCAGCTTTTTAGTCGGACAATACTTTCGAAATGTCGCAGAGATACGAATACGTCCCAAAGTCATTTTTTCGCAACGCAATCCGAAATAGCGCGGGAAAAATATGTTCGAGTCTATAATTATTCACAGCACGGTATATCGTACTATGTAAGATTTCGAAATCCTGAAGCTTGGGCTGTGAACAGCGACATTTCCCTTGAACATACAGCCCGATGTTCGAAATCTATTTCATTTCTCACGCTTTGATGGGGTTGATTAAAATATCGAGCGTGACAAGAAATTTCAGTGACGAAGTTGCCATTATCCAATATTCTCTGAGACAACTGACATGTTGAACAGCGACTGAGTCAATAAAATGCGATCACAGGCCGGAAGCGATCTTTATTCGTTCGTCAGCAGCGAATCGATCGAACTAGGGAGAAATCGAAGAGGCTCCGTTGTTCCGGTGATTTCGAGCGTTCGTTGGCCATCTTCTCACGCTCCTCCCTCATTCTCTTGCGGTACTCTTATTCCGGAAGGAATTTAATCAGACCACCTTTCGAATCTAACCAGCTTCAGACCAAATCGAATCGAATGACTTGTACCGACGACAGCGAAAACTTCTTCTACCGGAGGAAAAAGCACGTCAGTTAAAAGTTTCATTAAATATTTCATCACTCGCGAGAAATATTAGGTTCAGTAACAAGTTCGTTCGCATTTATCTGGAAAGAGTGCATCGAGCGATCTTGACCGCTATCGAATAAATTTCTATTTATATAGTCATTGAAACGGAGAATCATTTTTTATTTAAGAGTTCAAGTAGAAAACAGAAATAAGTTATTTAGAATAATTAGATTAATTGTCATTTGAAAATACAATTTTCTTTTATATTTATTATTTTTAGCTATTTTTGTTTGTTATTTATCGAACGTTAAATAAATTTACTTTTACGCCAGTGTAATTTTTTTAATGAAATTTTCATTACTATGCGTATCTCGAATATTTATCGTCATTACGTATAACTGTTTTCCAACTATTTGACAATTTATTTGTTCCATTTCTGTAAACTTTCTCATTCTTATGATCTAAACATTCTTCCAGTGCTTTCATAACTTAATTGCCACAATTGGTGTTCAATTTTTTTTTCAATCTTGTAAAGGAATCTTGTAAAAGTCTAGACAAATCGTAATAGGATGATATAAGATCGGGACAATACTTATAGTTTTTTATCGATCCTCGACTGAAATTTTTGAAATTTGAAATTTATTCATCCATCGTGTCTGTGATAATGACGAAATTCCCAACGATAAACAATTTTTTCAACAGTACTACGCTTCCTAATAATTACATTTTACATATATAATAATTATATTTTGTCCCTTTTAATAATTTATATTTTGACACTTAATATAAGTATATAATTGAATTTAAGAAAATATTTTTTTATACGATACAACAAGATAGATCATTTTAATAAATACCGTAATAAATATCAAACAATTATAAAATATAATAAGATTCAGTGCAATCCGACTTGATTTTTTAACAGATAATATTCGTATAAAATGTTATAAATATAAATACACGTAAAAAATACATTTAACGACGAAAAAGAATGTGAATATCTGTTAATACTAATAAATGGAATTTAAGTTGAATTTTATGATTCAAACGTGCGCTCAATTCTGCTTCTATATATATATATTTTTGCGCAATTTGATTTTATACGGTTTAGAAAAAAATCCCAATTCTCTCTTTACACGATGTAATTTGATTTAGCGTAGCTCGAACATCGCTTTTTTAAAAATGTCCATTTGAATTTAACGCTTTTCGCTCGAAGCTTTTCTCGTTTTTCTTTTTTGAGTCTGCAGTCTGATTTAATGTTTTACCCGGAATTTAATTATCAGCTGTCGACCCGGATTTTTTTTTATCATCTTCCATTTTATGGAAAAATCATGCAAGTTATTAGGAGTAAAACCGTTACGTGAAATTCCGAATATCCTCTTCGATACATAGCAAGACGGAGAATAAACGCGTCTACTTTTAGATGACAACAAATATAATCTACTTGATAAGCATACGTATCTAAATCGTATCTTCCTCCTTTACTATCCTTTATTCAAAATTTCGATTTATTACACAATTAATTTTTACTAGCTTTCCTCGTCTAAAACTGATCTTCTAATTTCTCACAAGCCTCGCATCTTCTTTTTAACTTTTTTCATTGCCTTTAGGTGTACAGTCAACTTCCAAAGTGGATCCCGCATGTTCCCTTACAACCTGCACATACATATAGATGTACATATATGCGAAAATGTAAATCGTGTTTCAAGTTTATACAATGGGTCAACTGTTTTGTTAAAGCTGTAGCCCCTTGCTGTTAACCAGTTCGGCAGATTAGATTTTCCTCCGTTCGTTCCTATCGTAGTGTCTCACTTGCCTTTCTATTCGTTTCTCCAAGTAGAGAGATCTTAATCTCATGCATGATTTTATGCGTGTATCTTTTATTAGCTTCTCTTCTTGAAGTCAAAGGATACTTATAATGTCTATACTTTTTAAAGGAGGATATTGATTCGCATTGCCTATATCGAAGACACTTGACTAGGATACGTCCCAGTATCTCCATTTCTTTCCTATTACATAGATTGCAATGTAGATTGTTGTTAATAAAATATGTAATGCCTTTCTCGTTTACCGTTCATCCAATTTTACCTGATGGTCTTTCTTAATTGGACCAAGTTTCTTTTCCAGGTAAGAAGTATATTTAATAAACCTACACATTTTGCTTTTTCTCTTTGGACCAAGTTTATTTATTTACGTATTTTTATCGAGGTAATTTCATTTAATTACAAATCAAACTGGTCCTTTTTTAATCTCGTGTTTTTTCTCTAAACTGTATTAAATTACTCGGCATTTATATAATGTAATATTTATAATATTTTATTTATGCACAAGGGCAATTGCTAAATATCTAACGTGAAACGAAGCAAATCTAATAAAGTTTGGCTAAAGTCGCCGAGGGTTGGCTAAATTGCAATATTTTCAGCGTTTTTCGTGGGTTCTCGGAACGTCGATGGAATTCGAATGAAATTTCGTTGGGTAATTGCGAATCTTCGATGCTCTCATTTCGCGCAGACTTCCCTATAATGTAATTTCAGGAGAGATTCAGTGTGCAGTTGAGCCCTACAGGGAATCTCCTCAAATATATCTCGTAATGCAAAAAGAAGAAGTAACCTACTTATCTAAGATTCTGCTCTGTCCCCTATATCGCATCTTTATTTATTATGTTCTACTATTTTTTATTATATACATTTATTAAACATTTATCACATTTATGAATGTAACTCGATATTGATTTCCATTTAAGCGGTATTGGAAAGCGTATTAATATTTAATTACCTACGTAATGCCTATAACGTTCAGGTACGTATGATCTACGAATAGTATAATATTTAATTGTCTCTATTTCGAGTATTTAGCGTTTAGCATACATTGCAAATTAATGTAGCGCAGCTAACGTATTACGTATTACGTATTACCATCCATCAGTTATGTCATTATTAGTTGTATGAAAAATGGTATGTAAATACAAACCAGCTTAATAGAATGATTAGTATATAAATTAGCAGCATTAAGTTGGATTATGTCATAAATAATAAATTAATAACAAGAAAAATGGAGTTATTTGTTTCTCAAATTTGTTAAAGGAATTTTCATTGCCACTTTTCTATCGAATTTCTATAAATCTACAAATATTATATTATTTTATACAAATGTTACTTTTGTTCATTGTGATGATTTAAACACCTGAATTTTGTGGATGATATGAATGATAATCTCTATCGCGTAAGCACATAACCACAGTGGCCGAAACGTCTATAAAGACATCATGTTTCTTGATAATATCTTACAATTATTCCACATTTGTGACAAGTTTGCGTAGGATATCGTTTTATAAGGAGGATATAATTCGCAAATGATATTTTATTGTATACGGTTGTCACAAATTTTTCTTGCGATTATTCCTCAAAGATTTTTTATTGGGCTTAAATCTGGGGTACACACTGGCTCTCTCAAAACCCTGATTTTTTTTACCATAATCACTGCATCGTGTATGCATGTTTGGCAGCGCTATCGCGTTCATAAATGAAATTGTCGACCCCATCTTCTTCAGCGAATGACGTTAAAATTGTTCCCGACAATTCCCTATATTCCGCAACATTCGCTTTATGAGTCATGCGACAGATCGGTGTCCTTGCGTCAGCTCTAAAAGCAGCCTAAATCATTAATACACCACCACCGAGATTACGACTCTTTGTCACGTTTCTTTTCCTCCTTGTATCGTGCCAGTAATATTTAAAGCCATCTCGCCCATCCGAATTGAACTTCTTTCCGTTAAAAGAGATTTCTTTCTTCAATATACCCTCTGTATAGTTTGTAAGCTGTTAAGTATCATGTCTACTATATGCCATAAATAAATGCCATAAATATATACTACAATCATATATATCAGGACTGTAAGTATGAAACCGGAATTTGCCTATAAATGGCCCTAGCTGATAATGTAGTTATCGCTAAACTGCGTCATTGATGCCAAAAGTCTTTGTTGACATCTCACAAACATTTTCGACTCGGAACAATACAAGTTTCAGACTCGGAACAGTACAAGACCAAATCGCTATGGACGGAAGACAATGCTCTGTGTTTGGTGGGATCAGAAGGGTGTGATCTATTACGAGCTGTTAAAACCTGGCGAAACCGTTAATACCGAGCGCTACCGACGACAAATGATCGATTTGAATCGAGCTTTGCAGGAAAAACGACCAGAATATCAAAAAAGGCAAGACAAAGTAATTTTGCTTCGTGATAATGCACCATCGCATACGGCAAAACCGGTGAAGGAAACGATCGAAGCTTTCAGTTGGGAAATATTTTCGCACGCGACTTACTCACCAGACTTGGCTCCGTCCGATTACTATTTATTTGCATCGATGGGACACGCAATTTTTGACCAGCACTTCGCTTCTTACGAAAATGTACGAAAATGGCTCGATGACTGGTTTGCCTCAAAAGAGCGACAGTTTTTTTGGCGTGGCATCCACCAATTGCCAGACAGGTGAGAAAAATGTATAGCTAGCGATGGACAATACTTCGAATAAAATATTTTTAATCATTTTCATACGATAAACGTGTATTTGTATCTATACACAAATTCCGGTTTCATATTTACATGCCTGGTATCTACTGTAAGCATAGACATTAAACAAACTGTTATAGGTGAAAATAGCATCATCATATCCATTGACGATGATAGACAACGTCTATGTCGATAAGATCTATCGATCTGAGCAATGTCCAGTTGTTTGCTCTTTTGATAGATCCCAGAATATATTCTGTCGAGCTTTCGACGTATTGGTCACATACAGGCCTTTGTAACACGTGGGGCCCACTTCTGACGTGGCCAGGGAACACGAAGCCAATAGAAAAGCTCGTACAAACATCGTGACTTTGTTTCAAAGTTATAGCCACTTCTGTATTTCAATACTCTGCAACAGCTCAACTTTACAGAAAGTGCTCGATATGGCTATGCTTGGTTCGTACGATTCGACACGTACCTGGAATTTTTAAAAGACTGCAAAATAGACCGAGGGCGACCATTTCGAACGGCTTTCACGAAGATAAGCTGCCGCGAATTATCGCAACACAAAAGTAGCCGTAATTCTGAAACAAGGTTAAACATATGAATCCCTTTCATCGTTTTCGTGTCCCCTGTCCATTTCTGAAATGGGTCCCACGTGTTATGAAACACCCTGTACGTTATTGGCTAGCGGGTTAATGCGTGTTTCAATCCTTCTTTTGTAGCTGCTAGCTGCTTTAATTATTTCTGCTGACGTCGTAACGATGTTTAAGTCCTCCCTCATTTCGTCGTTGCACAGATTCGTTACGTATCACGGCGCGATTAAAGCTAAGATGATCGATTGCTGGGCCTGGAGTTTGGCCATGTGGCTTTTCGCTGTCATATCCTGTAGTGATATTTCGTATATCCAGAAGGGTCGGAAAAGATATAAAATTCCCATTCTTCGGTTCGTGACACGTGCGTCTGAACGAAACGCATACGAACTTATCTGCGTTCTGCTTTGGATGCTGCTCTCTACGCTTTTTATCCAGTGAAACTGCTCGGCACTTTTTAAAATTTGCTGCACTCGCCTCGTAGTTACTGGCAAGCTTAATTTCACGCGAATTTGTGCTACATTTTTCAATTCTTTGTCGCAGTTCTCATCCACAACGAACGCTGCTTCTTGGTTGGCTTGCAACTTCCACCTCTAGGACGGCTTTTGCTATAGTCTTTAACCAAATTTACGTAGTTATTTACGAGAGTACGTGATCCATTAATTTGTTCGCTATTGTACGATTGGAACATGCCATATCTCTATATGCATCAGCGAATTCCTTTTCCTCGCTTGCCAATAACTTTCCTCGTGGTGTTCGACTAATAACAAAGTATAACTATATACGATTTCTATGAATCTATAGATCAACTTCAACACAGATGTTTAACTTTCAATCGCAGTTACACTTCTCCAATTACATCTGGCTGTAGTTGTGCACAGAAAATCTAAACGCAATCTAATCGCAAGTAGCTTTATAGAAATGTCGTACCTGTATTTAGCTTTAAACATTTCCGAGCCGATACTTATGGTTCTATGTTACGTTTCGAGTAAATATAATCATAGATGAGAAAAGATAATAAATCTGATGATATCTGTACAGAAAAACGTAAAAATGGAGATCACTTTGTGGCAATTTCAGGCAGTGTATATATATACATAGAGCGCATATATAGTTTTTCGCACTAGCGAAACCTAATTGCAAGCTAGCCTTTACCTGATGCATAATCGTGTAATAAATATAGCCTTATCGAACTACGTTTCATTAATATTCACAGACTAATAATGCGATCGTCAGTGTTGAATCTAGTGGGATATAAAAGAAAATGAACAATAACAAGGATTGAAGTCTTTTCATCTTATCGCTCCCTTTACGAACGCGTTTTACTAGGTGCGTATTGGTCGTATAAATATATAGTCATATGTATATGTGTATGTGTTCCATATACATGTATACGTGTGGCATTAATACATACACGAGTATATTTGCGGGAGGGTGAATTCGATTCCAACATGTTCCCCAGGGTAAGGCCGCCAAAATTCGATAAGCCACCCCTATCGAACTTGAATCTTCGCCCTCTTGGGAAGCGAGGTTGTTTGGCACACCCCTAAGGTACGTCTAATTACTTTATCGAACATTGATCGACGCTAGCGAAGGAAAGATTTTTCTATATTTCCTCCATTCTTTCGCAGTAAACCTTCGCACATCACATAGAATTTAATATTTGCTTCGTTGCAATTAATCTCTCCTACATGTATTTGCTACACGTAGTTAACCCTGCTGTTCTCCTCGATTCTTTCCCACGTTTGTATCTCCTCGGATATCTTCTTTCTTTGAAACATTTTGTTCGTGAAACGCGTGCAATACGCAAGAGCTACAAAAACCTAACCGAACAGGGGAAGATTAAAAAATTATGAAAACTTCATTTCCACTCTGAAACTCTCAAGAACGTCGAATATCTCTCGTATCAAAACTTTCAAGGGCGTCAAAACTCTAGGACCAAGGCTTATTAAGATTCAAGACCAAAACTTTCAGGAGTTTTAAGATTAGAATCAGAATTTATTTGTTGTTTTTCATATAAACGTACGCTCGATATTATCTTATCTTCGCCTTCTGATAAATTGCTCCAAGTGACCAGGTCCAACTTCGATAGAAACCTGAATGCGTCGACGTTTCATCGTCACGCTCGCGAACGGTACAACGCTGTCAACTGACATTTTACAAACAAGAGATTTTAAATGCCCCTGCCATAACTAATAATCGAATGAATTGGGGTGCGGAGAGCGAGCTGACCAGAAAATAAGACCAACACGACCTATCCATTTAGCAGGCATTCGTTAATCTAAGTAATGTCATCACAAAGCCACAGCTAACATCGCAAAAGCTGTAAGTCGAAACCAAGCTCATATATTTGTATGAACTTTTCTTCTCGGTTTAGTGTGCTGAACTACGTACTTCCCACGTGTTCTGACTCATCCTGCATACAGATTCGAAGCCATTCGAAGCGTTTCAGATCCCATTATTAGTTGAGAATAAGAAACTCCACGAACAATAAAATTACTCCATAATGTTTGAATGCAAAAACCAATTATTTTATTGTATATTATTTTTTAAAAGTAACTCTTCTCCTGTCAGAAGAATAAACCATGCCGGATCTCTCCATATGAAATTTTGGAACAGTGTTATATTCTGTGAAAAGTAACCCGGTGTCCACGTATCTTCGAGCAATAGCGTATATTTTCGAAAAACTAATTTTAACTCAGCGACGTGGCTATGCGAAATACTGATATCATTCTTTACACGCTTTAAACGCTACATTTAGATAATAGTTGAAAAATACGTTTCGATCGTAGGTAAATGTATTCGTACTACAATCGGAGGAACTCTTGTCACTGATTTTTCAGGCTGTTCCATCATCGTATTTGTGGAATAGCTGCGAGACTCGGGATACTCTCTACGATTTTACTTATTCACTTTTCAATCTTACAGCCCGGTCGACGATCCGAGCACCGAAGAAAATCTTCTTTCCTTTCAAAACCAACCTCGCTGCTCTCCAAGGGGAGCTAAATCCATTAGACGTTCGTCTTCCCTTTCTCCGAGAGAAGGACGAGGCATAGATAAAAAGAAACCGAAAGAACGAACAGATCGTTGACGAAAAGAAGAAAGGGAACGCTTGCGGGAATAGCGAGGAAACGTAATCTATCCGTTCTTCGAACTGAAGAAAACGTCTCTATCAAATCGGACTTTTGTATACATTCGATATTCCGGTAAATTCGAGATACTTATTTGTAAAGTAGATTGACTTTCTTGTAATTTTTTTAACGTTTCGACCGTATGTTATACGCGAGAGAAGTTCGGAAAGTCGAAAATTCACAAGAACTTCAAACTGCACTAACGTACGGTGAAACCACGTTTTTGTCCGAATCTCGTTTTTACGAACCAGTTTTTCTTTATGTTTTTGTTTGCCGTCAGTTATACGAAGTCTATCATCGAAGCAGCAGCTGCTGAGGGTAGCAAGCGAGCTTCTAATATCCCAGCTCATCGGTTATCCGGAATATTTTGTCCCCCGACCAGTTCGGATAAACGAAGTTCCACCGTAGTTTATGTGATGCTAATAGCTGAACAATTTCTTTTCTCTGTTGAAAAACGGTCCTAGAGACGAGATATCTCCGTTCTTACAAAGAAATTCCAACTTTTCGTATTATCGTGAATAGTTAAGAAACTAATAATGTGCAGGAAAGAAGTTAAATTAAAAGTTGTGGTATTCCTCATGATCTATATCGTGCATCTGAGAAATTTTCGAAACAAACCTTCCTTTCAATTTATCCTCACCACCCGTAACTTTTTTACGTTTTATTTTTCATTGTCACGCTCATAGATAGTTTTCGAAGAGCTCTTTACAAACATTGTATAAATGTAGGAATGTTATATTATTAGTTTGTAGGTTTGTAGGTAGGTAGTTTGTAGGTAACAGTATGATTAACA